AAAAGTGGTTTTAGCAATTTTTTACTTGCTTTTGACCTGCTATTCAATTCTGATGCAGTAGTGTGATGCAGGCTGACAAAACCACAGGATTTATGCACTGACTAACTTCTTTTAAAAGACTGAAATAATGACTAGTTTTGTGTTTAACTATATTTTTGCTATTACTAAACTAGAATTGGTAATAAGAAAACAAAAAAAGAATCTCGTGGATAACCGGAGTTTTGTGTTGGTGTCTGTGTGTCGCAGAGTGTGGAGGAAGCCTCTAAATCTGTGGAGATTGTGGTGGAGACAGAGGCAGGAGCTGGAGCCAGCGGCTACAGTGTGACTGGTGGAGGAGAGCGAGGGATCTTTGTAAAAGACGTCCTCAAAGACTCTCCAGCTGCTAAACACCTCAGTCTACAGCAAGGTGCCTGCAAGCACACCTGATTCCTTTATAAAGCACTACTAGCATACATAACATTTATATAAGATTTAAAAGGTAATTAAAAAGATATTTAGACTTCTTTTAAGGAGTTTGCACAGAAAGCTTTATTATTTTGGGGGAAAAGCCCAATATTACATTTTCCACATCATCTGTTCTCATTTTATTTCATATCAGCTTTGTTTATATCCCACCTTTAAAAATAGAGTTCATGAATTGCTTCAGTAATATAATGAAATATGAAACAAAAAGCCAAAATGTTGGGGCCAAATAAAGCAAATAAAATTAAGGTGAATTTAAGTTGAAGTTAAAAGGGGGAAAAAATGTAATGTAACATAATATCAATAGAAGATAATAGGACAAGTCTTGACCCAGAAGGTGGAAATCTACAAATTCCAACAACATTTGAAGCCTATTTTTGTTGCAGAATTTTTGTAAAAATCTTCAAATATCGATTAAACACTTCCTGACTCACCAGGGAGTCTGCAATTTCCAAAGAGTCTCTAACCCACTTTTTTTTTGAATGCATTTATTCTGATGACATTGTCATTTCGGGGGGGTGTTGATTATCGATTTATCAATTAAAAACGATTCTGGCTTGGATAACGTGATATCGATTCATTAAAATCCTGAATCGATTTTTAAATCTAAATTTATTTTGCCCGAAACGCCAGAATCTCAGGTTAAACCTCACAAAATTTCTACAACCACCAAACAGCTGAAACAGTAAATGAGAGCAGGTAAACGGATTCTGCACGAAGACGTAAACACAAACACAACCCAACGCATCTGAATCAGTGAGATGTCGCCTTTTCACCCGACGGCACCTACGCGGACACGGATACGCCGTCGGGGCTGAAAGCCGACAGCTCACTGATTTTGAAGCGTCGGCGGGCGCTTTGTGTTTCTGTGCTTTTTGTGCTAGATTCTGAAGCTGCAGGTTTTATCTCTCTCCAAACAATACTGACTGAACCAGCAGCAAAAGAAGATCCAAGCTACGCTTCACATTTCGCTTCACATAAACATCGTCACAAATTTCCTCTTACTTTTGCTGTTTTGCTTCCACCACGATAAAATCACACTTCCTGACTCACTTCAAGAACAGTTTCCCATTTAAAAATCTCTGTTTTCTGCGTTAGTCGCTTACTTACCCAACAGTCTTAGGTGTCGGCCGCTGTTTGTTTTTTTCGTTTTGGTTTGTTTTGGGTTTTTTGCTTACTTCCGACAAGAAAGCCTCATTTCTGCTGTTCAATTCTGAACAAATTTAAACTTTTTAAAATTATGCAAAATTGCAAAATGCTTAACTGTGTCTCTAATCAAACCTCTGTAACTTTGCTCTGCTTCACTTTGTGTCAGCTTTCTTTTTATAGATATAAAAATATAGATATGTACTGATAAGTGATCAGAATTATAATATTTCTGACTGTCTAAGGCAAAATTTCCCCGATTCAAATAGAATTGAATCGTGGATCTAATCGATTCTAGAGATCAGTGACGATACCCAGCCCTAATTGTCATGGCTAACTGTAAAAAAAAAAAAAAAATCAACTGGTTTCAGGATTACTAACAGATTTAGGTGTACATTTAAATTTGCCAATTAATCAAGCTTGACAGAACTTTAATTATTTGTTATTTAATACTTTTACTTTTTCAACTTTTTCCACTAAATGCATCCTATACTAAATATACATCACAAACTGATGTACATGAATATATTGTTCATACTGTTTTTCTGTATGAAGGTGACCAGCTGCTAAGTGCCAAAGTCTACTTTGACAATGTGAGGTATGAAGACGCTTTAAAAATCCTTCAGTGCGCAGAGCCATATAGGGTCAGCTTCCAGCTTAAGCGAACCATCCTTGGAGCGGATGGCAGCGTGCGCCCAAAGGTTCCCAGTGTGGAGGTCAAAGGTCCCAAAGTCAAGATGGCCAAAATGGTAAAGTAGCTTTATCAATTTATTGTAATCACTTTTAATCCTGAAAGCCATTGTGTTGAAAAAATATATTGTGAGTGATCAAATAGTACAGATAGATGCAGGTCTTCAAATGTTGTTGACTGATCACCTGATGACTTGTCACACGTGTTTCTTTCAGAGTGTGAAGGGGACCAAACCATTCAAGACTCAGAAGAAACGAGGTGGACGTTTTGGTCTGAAAAGGCTAAAAGAGAAGCGAAGAGAGGAGCTGGTGGTAGAGGGAACACCTCCCAGGCTGGAGATGAGTGATGTAGAGTTTTCTCTTCCCAAATTCAAACAAAGGAAAAGTCCAAAAGTTGAAGTAGAGGAAGCCAGAGGAGCAGCAGTTGAGAGGAAGGCAAAGAAAAGGATGAGGTTGGCCTTTTTTGTTTGTTTGTTTCTTTTTGGTAGTTCCAAATAATACAATACAATGCTTGTTGTACATTAAATTGCACAACATTAAATTATATCTAATTTAATGTTGTGCTTTAAATTAGATATAATCTTTTGGGGAAATATTACAATGTTCTTTCCTATTTCTTTTTTTCCTCTCTAAAACACTGTTTTCCAAGGTTCCCGAAAAAGGGAGCAAAAGTGGAGACAGGACGGTTTGAAGGACAAGTGAATATTTCCCCATCTGAAATGCCTGGAGCTAAAGTGAAAAGCAAAGAAAAAGGACACAAGTTTGGCATCACCTTTCCTACAAGCAAACACACAAAGTCAGGCTCTACTTTGGAAACTGGATCTGTGGAGCTGAAGCCTCCGGGGGTAAACATCCAGCCGCCATCTGTGGAGTTCAGTTTGTCTGCTAATAAAGATGTGGAGAAGGGAGCATCTAAAGTTAGCATACCTGATGTGGAGTTTGCTCTCCCTTCAGGAAAAGCTGAGACATCTTTGCCCAATGTGAAGGGAACGGCCAAAATCAAAGCTTCTGAAATGGACATCAAAGGAAGAGCTGAAACAGCTGAAGGAAAAGTTAATGTAGATGCAGACAAAGGAGATGCAAAGGTCAGAATGCCAAAGTTGAAACTACCCAAAGTTAGACTCTCACACCATTCAGATGAAATTGATGGTGACATCAAGGTAAAAGCTGGAGGCATCAAAATGCCTCACACTGACATAAAACCTCCAGAGGTAGAAATCAAAGGAGACGGGCAGATCGGTCTTCCCTCTGTTGATATTTCTTTGCCTAAAGTGAAGGGAAAGACTGACATATTGATCAAAGATTACGAAGGAATTAGGAAGACTGCAATCAACATGCCTGCCAGTGACATCTCTGTAGCTGATATTGATTTGGAATTAGACAGCGGACGGAGAATTCCCGATGAGGTCGAGGGCACTTTTAAAGGGCCCAAGATCTCTATGCCAAAGGTTGATATCTCACTACCTAAGATGGGATCATCGGTGGACACTGAGTGCCCAGAAGTGGAAGGAAAATTCTCTCTACCTTCTGTTGAGCTCTCACTCCCAAAGGTCAAATCAGACAGTGGAGATGTCTATATGGACTATTATGTTGGTGGTGATGGAAAATTCAAAATGCCTGATTTTGACATTTCTCAACCAGGAGAAGTAAACATAAGGGGACAAGGTGTGGAAGGGGAATTCAAGTTACCAAAAGTGGACCTGATCCTTCCCAAAGGCAAAGCAGGAATGACTGATGTTAAAGGGGAAGGAAATTTTCATCCAAAAATAAAGCTACCTGACCCAGATGTCAAACTTGAAGGACCAGAACTTCCAGGTGTTGACTTTTCACTATCCAAGCCAAACACTGAGGCCAATGTGGAGCTCAGTGGCAGTGGTGGTGACAAGTTCCAGCTCCCAACATTTGATATCTCACTTCCAAAGGTGCCCACCAAAGAAGGAGAATTTGATATTGAATCTAAAGCCAAAGGAGGAGCAAAGTTCAACGTCCCATCACTTGACTTCTCTCTTCCTGTAATGAAATCACCAGAGGGAGAGGTAAAGATTGAGAGCCCTGAAGTCAAAGGAAGAAAATTCCAGATGCCTTCTTTGGATGTCTCACTACCAAAGATGAAGATGCCTGAGGGAAATCTTGTCCTAGAAGGACCTTCTCTTGACATCTCTCCGCCAAAGGGAAAAGCAAAAGGAAAAGCCGAGGGTGACATACAAGTAAAAAGTAAAGGAGAACCTTTTCAAATCCCTTCAGTTGATGTTTCTCTACCTCAAATCAAATCAAAGCAAGGTGATATAAATGTTGAAGGACCAGAAATTACCTTTGAAGGTAATGGAAAAGGAGGCAAATTCAACGTGCCATCTGTTGACATTGATCTTCCTGTTGTAAAAATGCCAACTGTTGATATTTCACTTCCAAAAGGTAAAGAAAAGGGAGAAGTTGACACTGGCATTGACATAAACACTGAAGGGCCTGAAGGTAGAGGGGGAAAGATAACAATGCCAAAATTTGACATTTCTTTACCAAAGGTAAATTTTCCTGAGGGTGATGTCAAATTAAAAGGACCTGAAACAAAGGGAAGAAAGATTGAAATGCCAGATATTGACATATCACTCCCCAAAGGAAAAGTAGGGGAGAAAATTGAAGGGCACACTGGCAAAGGCAATAAGTTCAACATGCCCTCTATTAACATCTCTCTCCCTAAAATGAAATCTAAAAGACCAGATATAAATACTGAAGGTCCTCATGTCAAAGGTG